ACCCGAGATATCTGCATGTTTTGAGTACGCGGATTAAGCCGCGAAATAATTCGTCATATTATATTTATAATATTTCGAGAATGGAAGTTCCCGCGCACGGCAATTCTTCGCGTGACGAAGCGCACGCGCGCGACGGATATTTTGTATGAGGATGTTACGCGCGAGTCCCCGAATTGTTACGTGAACGCGTGGCGCGGTACAAAGAAATTGACTTCATTAATCCTTGATAGGATTATGTAAAAATGGGGGCAGTTATGACAAGCCATTTATTATGCAGCGAGGAGGTAGATGTGTGTTATTTTTCTTAGCTCTATCTTCCCCCGTATCCGGCTGAAACGAGCTTATAGAGAAACGCGCCGTCGCGGCGGAGCACGTAATATGAATCTTCATTAATAACGTCGAAATGGCAGGTCTCGGCGTCGGTGTCGTAAAACGACCGGATAAATGCAAACGTCTGTGTGCTGTATGTATCTACTTATTAGCCGCGGCGCGAACGTCACGGTGAACGCGCGTCTTCTTTCCCTTCGGGGGGGTATCGTCTTCAGCCGAAAAGACGGGCCGTGAAGAACAAACAAAAAGGGAAGGGAAGAAGGAAGAGGAAGAGATACAATTCACGCGATCTGTCGGCGCGGCTCCGATGATGCGAATTTTATCTCCGGCGCCGCCTAATCTATCAAAGTGATTCACGCGCGACAGCCCGAGCGACTTAATTTTCCGAAAGCCGGAGAGAGAAGAACCGCTCGACCCGCGCGCCGCGCATTGTAATACCTCTGGCCCCTCCGCCAAAATGGACGCGGCGAGCTAATTAAGTCGGACGTAAAGAAAGATAACGTTTCATAATGAAGGTGGATTTTTTGCCTATTTTTCGAGCGCCGTCTCCCCATCGCCGTCCCGACGCAGGGCCGCGCGCCACGCCACGCTACGCTCCGTTCCGCGTCGCGCCGGGGAAGATTTTACGCCCGACAAGCTTTCGGAAAAAAAGGTCGTCCGAGTGTACGAGAGAGCAGCGAGTTTAAAACGTTGCAAGTGCCGTACCGGATATGAGGGACGCGGAGATGGGAGGGGGAAAGGCAGGGAGGAAGGCGCGCGCGGACCGGAAATGGCCGCCCTTAACCCGGCACGATCAAAAACTGGTTTCGCCAGACACACGAAAGCGCCGCCGAGAGATGAGGGAAGCGGGGGAAAAAAAAAGAGAGAAACAGAGAGGAGGGAAACGGCGGGAGAGAAGAAAAGAGAGAAAAAAAAAGAAAGAGAGAGAAGGCACACTTCCACCACCGTCCTTCCTACCGCTCGCCGGTAAATAACGGATAATTTCGCTCTCGAATAAATCGAGGGAGGCAAAAGTTTCGGCGTTAAAAAACGTTTAAGCCGTTGCAATATTTTAAGGGAGCGGCGAGGAACTTTAATGCAGTTAATCCGGACTGACTTCCGCGAAATACGGCCCTGGGAAGAATTCTTGTCGCGGCGCACCGCGCTCGCAGTTTTCTCCCTCGCGAGAACGATTCCGACGTTCAAAACAACCCCCGGGGTAAAAGAGTTGCAAACCCTTAAATTTATTAGAACACAACGCTCCGCTGGATGAAACAGAAGCAATACGGCCTAATTTCGGTGAGTTTTCAATCTCGCGCGAGTACACAACAAATTACGTAGTCTTGCGTTTTACTTTTTTTTTTCACCTTTAATTTTCGTGTCAAATCACGCGTCGACATCAGTATTTCTTAAACGTATCGTTCCAATTACACAAATCGCCGCTTTTTACTTCGCCGGAACGTCGCGTCTCAAATTCGACGTTTGCTGCCTGTTTCCGACGAATTCCTTCAATTAATCATTATTAGTCGTATTATTTTCTCAGGAGGAGCAATTCAGCGAATTGAAATTGCTGGCGAGGAAATAATGAACCGACAGCTGTCGATGTAACACACAGAGCGTAAATGCGTGGCCTAGTCGATCGCTCGTGTCTCATGACGCTTTGCGTCATTAAATACGTCTTTTGCTCGGCATAACGCGATAGACATAATTACGACACTTTTGTACCGTTAGCATTAATAAGTCGTAAAAGTCGCACGAGTAGTCGGCCGGCCCCCAAAGGCAAAATGAAAAAGGGGTCGCTCGATCAGGGAATAAGTAATTACACGTCGTGCCATTACACCTAATGCCGATGTTCTAAAAATGGAGCGCCAAATTGGATTCTTCGTATTACGATCGTAGCGTTATGAGATTCCACCTTAATTGGCGCATTATCGCGCCCGTCGTAATTCAGTTAGAGAGTGGCGAACTTGGCTATTGGGCGCTCACTGTATCACGATATCGGCTAGCGATTACATTTTCATTAATCCTAGATAAATAATATAATTCCTAATACATTAATATATCAGCTGTAAGCGAAACCTGCTGCTCCCTCCTCTTATACATCTCGTAAAATTACCTTTACCGTTTTCCTTCTCGATCCTAAAACGAAAGTAGACTATAAAACGACTATAAACCGCTCGCCCGCAGTGCACGCGAGTGAGTAAATTTTGCTCGTCATTACCGATAGCCAAGGGTTGAGATTATCAGCCCCGAAATATCGCAGGCCGCAAGTCCGTCGACGTACGAAAGCCACCAAACGGAACGTTAATAATAAATCGAAATGAGATATTTAAGGAAGAATTTCATTCAATCGTGCGGATCCAAGGGACAGAAGCAGATTAAAATCGTAACTCCTAGTCGAAGAGAGAGAACCGCTGCGAACAGTCCATAAGCCAGAGAGGATCTAGCGGCTGTGTAGACTGTACTGAAATAATGTACAGTGCCGTACAAAACGGCAAGTCGAGGGACGGGGAGGATAAAAGAGGGGGAACGAGGAGGGAGAGGAGGGGAGGCGCTCTCTCTCTCTCTCTCTCCCGGTTCCCTTCCACGCGTCGCCCTTCCTCCGTCACCGTCGACGTATACCTCTCTCCCGCCGTCGGGGTAACAATGGTGTGCAAAGGAGATTAACAAACAGAATAAGCTAACGCATAATCGCATTATTTCTAGCTAAGCCGCATTTAAATTAGATAGAAATTCCATTTAACGAAACAATGCGGGGATGATGAGTCACTTCGCCGTGTACGTACGTACGCGCGCGCTACGCCGGCGAATAGACATTGTCCCCCTCGCACGATGAAGCATTCCCGACGACGATCTTTCTCTCTCTCTCTATCTATCTCTTTTACACGTACGCGGACGTGAATCTCTAATTTTCGCGAAATTCTTACGAGTCGGCCGCGTTATCACACCACCAGTCCTCCGAGTCTTCCGGCGGGACGCGAGGCGCATACATGCGCGTATATATACGCGTGTTTCGTGCGACCGTATTTCGTCGTTCTGCACAAAGCACGAACGAGAACGCGTGTCTTTTTACTCTGTCCCTCGCGTCGCTTCGTTCGCGTTTCTAATACCCTTGGAAATATGTTGACGGCAGTTGCACTTATTATCTATTTTACAAAAGAAGACACCGTCGTTGAAACTCACGCGGTTGAACGTAAGCGACCAATATGAACGGCGATAAATAATATATAAGGATTATATCGCGAGACCGAAACAAGCGATATTAGTCGACAGGGCGGAAAGAAAGAAAAAGAAGTGGTGCACTGTATATTCGGACGTAAGATTTATCTCCCGTTCAGGGGAGGGCGAGTATCGGTTGTTCCAGTTTCGAAGGTTCCGCGATATTTGGCCGCTCGTGATCCTTCGACCTATCGAAGGCTTTCGGAAAAGTACTCCGAAACGGCATGTGACTCATAACCGTCGATTGCCCCGTGACCTTTAAGGACACGATATTAAATTACAACGTAAACTCGCACGGTCATGTATTCAAATCAGCTTGAAAGTTACCGCGTACCATCAATTTCAATCGAACGTTACGGGCCCCCGGCGGAAACGGCTCTCGCCAGTTTGTGCGTTCAATATCGCGAGAAGTCACCATTAAATTCGACGTGACGTTCAATTTTACAGGGAGTCGCGCCGCCGCCGCCGTCGTCGTAAAAATTTGTAGAGCACCCTATATAATCGAAGGAAGGGCGCCCGACACAAAAAGAGCGAGCCAACGCGACGAGCCCGCCCACGTGAGGAGGGCGGCCATATTCGTGACGTAATTCTGACGTCACCGTGCCGATAGCGTGCTCCGCACGTTACGCCGGATGCACGGGGAAAATCGTAAAACGTGTGCCTTCCACCCCCTCCGCTTTCCTCGTTCGCCTTATCCCACTGCCTTCTCTCTCTCTCTCCGCGCGTCCTCCGCCACCCCCCTATTCTAGATTGACGCGCAATCCGCTTTGGGGAAAATGCCTTTCCCGCGCGCGAGACGTCGCCGGGAGAACTCGGAGGAGATTTAGATTTTCCGCGGAAACTCCTATTCGCTTCTCCCGAGAGAAGACCCCCCCTCCCCCTCTGTACGACTTTTCATAGCCCCCACAATGCTCGTGTGTCTCTGTACGTATGTGCGCGTATACACAGCGGGAGATTCAGATTAAATTACGTCGGACGTGCGAGAACGCAATCTGATTGACGAGTCCTCGGGCTTCGGGTCAGGTTGTCAGGAGCTAGATCCGCGGGCGCGATCATCCGTCGCGGCGACGACGGGTCGGGATAAAACGAAAGCGATATTACTTGGCGGTTAAGGAAGAGGAAAGCGCAACCGCCGTCGGGCTAACGCGAACGGTCGCGTTAAATAGCCGGCCGATCAGCGGAGATTAATTGGGCCGATAAGCGCGCGCCTTCTTCCCTCGTGCACTCGGCTAATACGATGGAAATGAATGCGCGACTTGGAGGAAAATGGCCGGAGGGAAAATTTGCGCGATTACCGCCGGCGGACGGTTATCGCTCGGACGAATGCGGACTTTTCAATTCCCGGAACGTCCGTACACGCTCCGAAATCGTGCGGAGCAGACATCTCGCGTTAAAGATCGCTCAAGGGACCGGCGACTCGCCGTGTAACCGAATCGGTGAATGACCGAGGGCACCCTCTGGGCCCCTCTTACCTGCGGACCGCCACCCACGATCGACTGGTAGGCCGATTGAAAAACGCTGCCCAACTGTGTGAGGCCCTCGTCCTCCATCTGGAACATGATGTCCGCCCCCGGCGAGCCGTTGTTGTTTAGATTATTGTTGTTGCCCATCAGCTTCTCCGTGCTGCCGATGTCGCGGAGTATCGTGTTCGACTGCATCCTACTCCTCCGAGCGACGAGGTGGGATCAACGCGACGGGGGAACACGTGCAAGGGCGTCCGTACGGGACGCGATTCGATCGCGCGCTCGAATCGACGACGTCTCGACGTCACACAGTCCGGCCGTCAGACCTCAGCGATGTCGTCTCGCGGCGGACGACACCGCGTCATTTTGCTCGTCTCGGTCAACGGCGACAACGCGACGGTACAAAGAACGCACCGGGAGGAAAAAGCACGAGACGATATGCGTTGTCACGTGACGGGAATCCGCCTGGCGGAATCCGTGACGCGGTCGGAAGTGCAGCAGCGTCGTCGAGTCCTCCTCCGCGTCAGGTCGAACATACCACGCACTTGTCACGGTGTCTAGGATGTACACAGAAAGCGAGGAAAGCAGAGAGAGAAAGAGAGAGATAGACAGAGGAGGAAAAACAGAGGACGACGCACGCCGGATGTCAGCGTCGGGGGATATCTTATCGTGGCTGATATCGTTATCCGATCTTCGTCCTCTTCGCGACGAAGCGAATTTTCACTGGGAGTGACGAGCGCGCGCCATCGCTCGCTCGTACAAACGGAACCGTCACCGGTGTACTACGCACATCAGGATGCACGCGCGCGTAATTGCCGCTGCTGCTCCGTTGGTCGCTGCATGGCGGCGGCGTCGGGCCGCTTTCGAGGTTAGAACGGCACACGCTCGTCCAACTGCGGCGGCGGCGCGTCCCTATCGCGCGCACCGCACTTCCTTCGACCTTGCCGCGAGAGACGAAAGCTACACACCGCCGTGCGGTCACGAGAGGACGACTCACGCGCGAGACCGCGTATTACACTTGTCGTTATCTTCGCCGATGTCTACGTACTTGCTGTTCGCACGTACGCGCGAGAACGGAAACGGCGGGCGACTGAATCAAGAACGGACGCGCGAGAGATCCTCCCCACACGATACACGCGACGAGACTGACGCGTCGCGAGGGGAGGCAACCGCTTCGGCTCTCCTCGCTTCCCGTCGCCCGAGCCCGTGGGTTCCCATCCCTCACCCCGTGCGCCTCGCGAGCTGGGTGTCCCACTCTGAACCCGCCGCCGCTCTCCTTCTCTCGTTTGCTCGCTCGCTCGTTCGCTCACTCGCTCGTTCGTTCGTTTGTTCACTCGTTCGCCTTCTCCGTCCTTTCAACGCTCCGATCTCGCAGGAAGCAACCCCTAGCGCGAAGGGTCACTGTTTTTGCCTGCAAAGAGGCGTTCGTATACCGGCGACAAGCGGACGCGAGGCCGAGTGTGGGTGGCTCTCCTTCTCCCCCTTTTCTCCTCTCTTCTCTCTTGCTCTCTTTCTCTCTTGTCCGCGGGTTATGCATCGTGCCGAAAACATCGGCCCACTTGTTGAGTCGGAAAGAGAGCGACCAGAGAAAAGGACGGAATTGAGAACTGGAGCGTGTAGGTGAGTGAGTAAGTGAGTGCGTACGTGCGTGCGTTATATACGTACGTACGTACGAGCATGCGTATGGATACGCGCGCGAAAAAGTGGCGTTCGAGATAAAAAGCTTCGCGCGCGGCTAACGACGGACAAAGCCGACGAGGATCGGCCCCCGCGGTCTCCCTTCCTCTTTCTCACTCCCTCTCTTCTTTTCTCATTCGCTTTCTGTCGAGAAACTATCTGTTGGCCGTCTCCATTCGCGCCACCGTTCGCGATTATCGCGCTTCGCTCCGATCAACACGGACACGCCGATCGCGGTTACTTGTTGCGAGATGAAATTCGTCGCACGACGCCGCTTCGAAGACCTTGAACACCGTTTCGATCGCGACATTATATTTGCCATCGTAAAAATAATTCGTCCACTGTCGCCGAGACAAAGAGAAGAAACTATCGGGAATCGCCGAGTCGGAATTTCAAATTCTACATTAAGTCTTCCAGTGGAAACAACGGGAACAAGTTCACACTTGCAGCGTTAAAGGGGCACAATAAATACAAAGGGAATTTAGTCCTCCAAAGTATAAATTTTAGTTCTATATTATTAAGTCTTCAAGTGGAGAAAACGGCAGTAACTTCTCCATTTATAGCATCAAAGGAGCACAATAGAAGACCCTTGAAAACTTAATGTAGAACTAAATTAGATTTAAAGTAGGACAAAAATTTCGGGCTGTTCTTTTTAGCTGAACTGGCTGCGCTGGTTCAAGAGATGTACGCACGCTGAAGCGTGAGAATCTCGTATAATACGTTACACTTAATATGCTTCAATGTGTGTGTGTGTATGTAAATTTCTTGAACTAGTGCAGCCAATTCAGTTAAAAAGAACAGACCATACGTGGTATCTTCTATCTCTCTTGCACAGCATATGCGACGAGTGCTGAAAAAGATTTTAAAGGCAAGCCGACGAAGCTCGAAGAGGGCACTTTTCGATAACTCGTATCTTAGTAACGCCTTCACAGGGAAAAGGACGCGTACACCACGCTTGGCCATCCACGATAGACCCCGCACACGCATGTAAGACGGAAACGATAGCGAGAGAAATATCGCCGGAGTTTCGGCTAACGAGTCGCTGCGCTCTTCGAAACTGTCCGGATCGCGCGTCGACGCGCAGTTAATTAAAAGCTCGCGCGCCGCTATAATGGATCGTCGGCGAATTTTAAGGTGGCGTGCTTAACTTTCGCGCGAAGTTAAATGGTGTTGTTTACCGCGCCGGGCGAAGTTTAATGATATCGCGTTCGCGCTCCCGCGGCCGAGAATATCTTCGTAGAGCGCGGGGGAATCCCGCAACGACCACCGTGCGATTTCGGAAAATCTCCGTCCGACAGGGAGAAGAGACGGGTAGATCGAAGAGAGGTGGCCAACAAGCGCGCGAGGAGAGTGCGGGTGGGCAAGGGGGGAGGCGAGAGAGGGGACAAACGAGATATCTCGTGGCGCCAAAGGTGCCTCGTTAGTCGGAAATTCGTGAGTAATTTTAGTGTCGTACCCACGCGACCGGCCGAAGGTTTATAATTACCTAGCCTCACCCGACCCAATCTAACCCACTTGGCAAACGAGCGCGAGCTCCAGTTTTCCTCCTCGCCGAAAGCCGGATGGGCGAACTTGGTTAAAAAATCGATCGACCGGAAACTACTGACGAACTTCCCATTAATACTCGGCTGCGACTTTTCTTTCGGACCTGGCGGATCGTCGATCGACACGACGACGACGAATCGTCAAGTGACCGATTATATTCGGACAATCCGCGAATGAGCGATTGAATTCCCAGCCGGAGGAACGCCGTCGCGATGTATAGGTGCATTTGCGTTTGTATCCGCGCCGGTTAAACAGCTCGCCGATACAATGTGACGACAATTGACATCAATTGTCGACGGCCGCTTTATTGAAGACACTTGATCTCATTTCGATTCAAGACGGACGAGAGCGCGGAACGATGTAATTTCTAATTCAACGCGACTCGATCGGGGTGTTTTATTAGCGTAAAGGTGAGGCAACGTCCGCGCGTATAACCATACGTTTCCCTTGAGAAAACTATATACCGTTCGTTTCTCCTTGCAACATTGAAAAATACGTCCAAGTGGATTCACCGAGTACGAGTTGTTTGTGCTCGAAAAAAAAATGTGGTTGAACATTGTTGAGTCGTGAAGTAGTGAAAATAACATCGATAAACTCGCTGCATTAGATGTAAAAAATAAGAAATTGTTCGTAGCACGATTAAAAAGCGGAGAAAAAAGCAAAAGACAGACGGTTACGTATAATGGAGCACCGGCAGCATAAAGTTAAAAGTTCTTTCGTACTTGCCTGTCGAGACACGCTCAGGGACGAAGAGAACTCGTTCTTTGATTATCGGCCTGACACCCGTGGCGTTCTAATCCCGCAAGAGTTATACAATCAATAATTTTAAACCCCTCATTAAAATTTTATCATTACAAGCTCATTAAAGCGCGACATTTTTTTTCCAAGATTAAAGAAAATGTGCCATCAGGGTGCCGATAAAACGTTGACCAATCAGTGTAAGATGCGGGATATGAACGAGGAATATAAAAAACAACCAAATGCACAATTATCAATACCAACTTATAAATTCGTCTGCGTTGTTGTGACAATAAGAACGGTACGCGGGAGGAGAGCGCAGTGTTCGACAAAATTCCGCACGGAGAAACGTTAATAAGATAAACACGCCAGCAGCGGGACTATAGCCGGTAACGCAAATAATGACACAATTTAATTAAATAATTACGTAACGTTCGTTTATCGACTCTCTGATAAGGAGGTAAGCGCGTCGTTCGCAGAGCGCAACCCGAGTATCGATCATCGCGCGGCCTCGCGCCGCGGGAGCGCTATCTTCCGCGGCGAATTTTGACAAATCAACGCGGCGAATTGTCCTCGACGCGTCGAACGGCGCGTCTGGAGAATTTCAAAAATTCTCACCGCGGACACGCGTGCGATGTTTCTAATTGTCGCTAACACTGTCAGCGTTACCTCGAAAAGTCACCTCGTCGCGCCAAGTTATCTGACATCAGGATCGCGTAAATGAAATACTTTCATCTGACGCGACGTCAGACCCGATGGAAGTGTCGGATGAAGTCCGATGAAGAAATAAAATGCACGAGAAAATGATGTCGCGAGAGACGCATTTTCGGCGCCTCGGGAGACACGGTCCTGCACATTTCTTTTCGTTTACGGATCCTCTGAACAATTCGAAGTAATTCGAATATCTACCCTCTTGGTAAAAATATTAAGTCGCTGCTGATGACCGGAACGGCGAGTGAGACTTTCACGACGGCACGGTATATCGATCGTCGCGTTGTCGTCGCCGGCGCGAAAAGAATTCCGCCGAATCGCGCGCACTCGTCGGGAAACGCACGCGGGAATACAAAAAATAATAGAAAAAAAGAAGAAGAAGAGAGGAGGAGAAGAGACACGACGTGTTACCACCGTGGCGTTTCGTCATTGGACGGCCAACAAATAATTAGGTAACCTCGCCTGGCCAACTGTGTAAACGCGCGCCTCCGCGGCATCCCCGCGCTCTTTCCGCACCTTGTCAGGTCGTGTAAAGACGGCGAAGTGAATAAAGGGCGAAGAGAGGAGAATATCCGAGAGAAGTAGAGACGAAGAAAGGTGGCGAAGAGTCGTCGACCCGAGAACGCCTCTCTTCTTCTCTTCTTCTCTCTACGTCGTTGTCTCGTCGTCGCGCGATCCCCCTTTCGAGAGCGTGAAAAAAATAATAAGATCGTGGCTCTCTCTCTCTCTCTCTCTCTCTTTCTTTCTCTTTCTTCCTTTTTCTCTCTCGGAGGTCGATTCTCCGACTCTCGTCTCCTCTCTTGACGCGAGCGAACGAAAGCGCGCGCGCGATCGCGAGCGCAGGGATACGACAAAAACGTTGCCGGCAAGAAAACGGAACTCGGTGTCTCCGTGTTGTCGTCGTCGTCGTCATCGCCGGCGAGCGTCACGATGTACGAGCTTAGGAGCTCTTCTATGACACCGCATAGCCGATATACCTTAGCGCCGAATAACGAGCTCGAGTAAGATCTACGTGGGTCGCCTGAGTAGATAATTGCGATAAGAGTGAATTTGTTCGAAACTTATCGCTCGAATTTATCACTCGGGAACTTTCGCTACGACGCGCGGGAATTCTCTCTCTCTCTCTCTCTCTCTCTCTTTCTCTCTCTCCGTGTCGCAGATTAATTTACGCTTTATCGATAATTCGCGAAGTGAGCATCCACAGACGCGACACGGCAGTAACAGCGCGATCGACGAAAATCATTGCAGAGAAATACTCGCGAATATACCCTTATAAGACGAAAAGCAAGGCAACACAGCGGTATTTCGCCGAGAGCAAATTCGCGGTAAAAAGCGCGACGAAGCAAAACTTCCGCGAAACCGATTTAATTTCCCCCGGCGCAACCCCTTCGTGGATATCGTGTCCGAGGGTGAATGGCTAAAAGGTAATAGTTAATAACAGCGCAG